CACATACACACAGGCACTCTGATAAGCTAATATGAAAGGCAACATCTGAAATATACTATTAGTAAATTAAATTCTGTACTATATTAAAAGAACACACAAGGAAAAGTAATTACCCATATTTAAGAAAGGCATTGATAAAATTCATAGTATTAACAGCGAAGAGAGAAAAAGCAAATCATTGCATCATTAGATAGATGTTAATAAGCTATTTGAGAAAAGCTCACTAATTTGCACGATCATTAATGTTAGACCTAATTCTTTGGAATGTGGCTTTTGGGTTAGAGATGCTTCTTAGCAGCTCACAGTAGTACCTAGCCTCTGAAGCGATCAGGAGAGATGGATGGTAATTATTCCTCAAGCCATCAAATAGAAAAACTCAAACGGAGTCTCTGAGATTTGGCCATTAACTCATTGATAGGAGCTGACAAGCAATTCCAGTCAGGCAGCTGCTCAGAGAACCTGGATTAGCGGACAGTTGTTCATCTTTCCCATGGCAACCATGCCATGGTCATGATTTCTTGAAATCCTGAAACTTGCCAATGTTAGTGTTTGGGAATTTGCTCATCCGTTATATGACCCCTCTTTTTTCATTTTTAAAAAATTTTATTGGTTTATTTTTTCTTTCTGCAAACTCTGCTTTCTCTCTAGTGTTAAATACCTAGAAGGCAGAGGAAGAATATTGATTCTTAATATCACCCTTGGCTGGACACTGCTTTTCTTAGAAAAAAACAAAAACTCCATCAACTGATAGGGATCCCATTTAAAGAAGAGTAGAACTGTACTCCCCCCTCCCCTTGAGTCAATTCCAATCCATAAAAGACCCTACGGGACATGGTAGAACAGCCCATAAGGTTTTCCAGCAGAATGTCACATGGCATTCCCTTGACGTGACTGGTAGATTTGCAGAACCACTGCACTACCAGGACTCATTGCAACCGTACTACATAAGGTTTGCCATTTACATCATCGTTCAGAAGCAGATTGCCAGGACTTTCTTCCCAGTTGCCGCTGGGTAGATTCAAACTGCCAACCTTGTGATTAGTAGCCAGGACTTAACTGCTTGCACCACCCAGACTCTGCTTGGAGTACAGTCGAAAGCCTACCTCTTGACTTGAATTCAGAGATGTTCTACATCTGCTAAATGAGTGCCAAGAATCTAGATCCCATGGTTCTCCTGGGTCCCTAGGTGTAATAAAAACCTCCTTTTCCCTAGAAAAGCTGCAGCAGACCCCACGTCATTTCGGGGAGCGGAGAGAACCTGTTGTTGTCCGTTGCTGTCAACTCAATGCCAATTCATGGTGACCCCATATGTGCAGCGCAGAACGGCACCAAGGGGTTTCAAGGCTGCCGCCTCTCGGGAGCATTTCGCCAGCCTGTCTGAAGAGTGCCTGTGAGTGAGTTCCCACCACAACCCCCTGCACGTGTGCTCAGGTGCTGAGCTGTTTGTTCCACCTGGGGCCTCGAAGCTGTATTTCCCACGTTAGGTGCCGGAGCTCATTCCTGTTGAGGTTGATGAGGACCGAAAGACAGGGCTTTCTACTCCCGTTAAAGAGTGCCAGTCTTGGAAACTCACGGGAGCCAGTTTTTCCGTCCTCGAGGGTTGCTGTGAGTTGGAATTGACTTGATGAATATGAGAATTTAAGAACTTTGGGGAAATAAGAACGCTGTGAGGCAGGTCAAATGATTTTTTTTAACCCTTCAAAGAAATGTTGGTGTGGGGTAAACTCCACCAGTTACCCAAGGGGGAAGGAGAATCCAACTCATCCAACTTCTCCACCTCGGGGCACGGAGGTGCCAGCTCCCTGTCTGCCCAGTGATGATTCATGGCGCAGCGGGGTCGGACATGCTGCCACCTCCCTCTTATTCATCCCATTCTGCCGTCAACCTCCCTTCCACAGCGCTCTCCTTCTCTGCTGAGTCCAGTAACCCATGGCAACAGTCACACAAAACACACAAACAATACTCAAAAATCATGGGATTTATTAGGGAAGCTAACGGGTTACAAAATATTAAGGACATTTTGTAATTTGGTATGTGTTCTTGGGTCTGCAGGACCTCTTCTCGGCCATCTTAGCAGACACGCTTCTCTCTGGTCCTTAGCCTCTCAGTGGTGCCATCCCTTGACCTCTGCCCTACTCAGGCAATATTACCAAGCTCTGATCGGGCTGATAAATAGCCACAGGATTGCACCCTGCAAGCCAGTCTCCTGCCCAAAGACACTCAGCTTTCCTCATTCTGGGGGCCAGGAAGCCTGCTGCCCTGTCTCAGTCTTGGCATTGCCCTTTTATTCTGTCTCATGGTCTGGGCACTGCAGCCTCTGTTGCTTCCACCTCTCAGCCAGGGATCTTGGCTTTGATCTGCTGGTAGCTTTTCTTTCTGCTGGTCCTGGGATGCCTTCCACCTGCTTCTGACTTTGACATTAGACAGACTGGTGAAACTTACTAAACGCCAAGTGAGAGTCTTTTACGCTTACCTACAGGTTCCTTACAAAGACTATGGTTTGAAGAGCGATACCACGTGATTTCACTTCCCCATACTCTTCAAGGGAACTCCTCAGATACGTGCGACGACTTCTTAGGTGGTATTGCATGCTCTTCACACTTCAGTATTCATCTCCCCTATCTAAATATCCATTTGACTTGAACGTCTTGCTGCCATAGCTCTCCCTTCTTTATTGCACGGTGTAAACTATCTCACAATCCCTTCTGGAAGTGTCTACATTTCCTCCTATCACATGCATATTTTTTTTAGCATGCAAGCTTTCCAATTGTCGATTGGTTGTTTGTGATGGGCTTGTTTATCACAAAAGACTCCAAGTCCGTTTCAGTTTTACTTTCCCTACAATTTTGTGCTATTCTGTCTGTTTTCTAGTTGTTCTCATTCAGTTCCTAGTCATTTTATGCTATTAATTTTCTGGAATTTAGCTAAAACCAGCAAATATGTGCGTTGCCTAGTGGAAATAATTCTAACCTAAATAATGTGAAAAGCCTACGTGTGCTGCCACTGGGTTGACTCCAAATTATAGTGACCCTGCAGGACAGAGTGGAACTGTTTCATAAGGTGTCTGATCCTGTAAGTCCTTACAGAATCAGACTGCCTCATCTGTTTCACATGGAGTCCCTGCTGGGTTTGAACCATCAGCTTGCAATTGGGAGCCCAATACTTGACCCACTGTATTTTCAGGGTGCCTTGATTTGAAAAGTGTGTTTAATTTTTGTATGTCAATTATTATACAAGTTGATCACAGAAATAAACACCCAAGTCTCCCCACATGTTTTCAAGAAATCAGGTCTTGACATGCCAGTTACATGGAATTTAGCCTTAAATTTCTTTTCTGAGTTCAACGACATGTGGCCGACTGCCTTTGTGTGTCTATAGCCATCCCTAGAATGATGTTCACATAGATTTTGTTCATCTTATTTCTAAAGAGGAAAACTCAAAAGAAACAGGACTTGACTTTTCAAGTCTGTCCAGTGGTTCCCAACTTTGGCAGCATTTTAGAAATCCTAAAATTTCATGTTATTAGATCCCATCCCAAAGCAATTCAGTCATAATCTCTGGCGTGGGACTATGCCTCAGTATATTTTAGAGAAATCGAACACAAAAGCAAAGTTGAGGACTTCTGGATCTATGGACAATTCTGTAACCAAAAATTGGCAATTGTCATAGTGGGGGGAAAAATTGCTGAAAGTTAATGGTCAGTTCTGCCCATCAGTTTAGCGTGTAATATCTTCATAGGCGGGTGAGGTGCTCCTCTTCGGCCCAGCCCTGGATTTTCGCTTGTCCAAACATGAGGTAAAAGACCAGGCCAAACATGTTGACAGCAGCTGACAGGAAAAAGACATTCTTCCATCCAGAGGCAGCATTCTAGACACACACAAAAAACATAGAATCACTATTTTTCCTCACTAGTTTGGGAAATTCTTCATTTTGTATCCTGCAACAGCCAACCACAAACAATAAAGGGAACATTACGTACTAGCCTTTTAATATCTAAAGTCATCAAAGATAGTTTCATGAAACTCTTGGAAACAAAAAAGCTCTAAAATGGCCCATTGGGTTCGGAATTAGGATAGATTTTCCTTCAAACCCACACCAATGAACTCCCATTATTGTTTATCTGAAAATCGGCATCTCATCCTCCTGGCAATATTGAATTATTCTGATATCTAAAATGACATCTTTCAGAGCTCATGTGTGCATTTGCTCTTACTTTGTTTTGTTTAGCTTTGGCTTGGTAATTAGCATCAATCAGAACAACCCTGTAGTAGAGCAGTGGTTCTCAACCTTCCTAATGCCGCAACCCTTTAATACAGTTCCTCATGTTGTGGTGACCCCCAACCATAAAATTATTTTTGTTGCTACTTCATAACTGTAATATTGTTACTGTTATGAATCGGGCGACCCCTATGAAAGGGTCATTCGATGGCCAAAGGGGTCGCGACCCATAGGTGGAGAACCGCTGCTGTAGAGGAACATCTCAGAACAACACTGGCTACATTAGGTGTGCTTGTGTGCCAGGCCTTCAAGAGAGTTCATCTCCATTGAAGTATTACGATCACAGTGGATTACTAGGAATTGGGTAAAAAATTAACTCCAAAGTCAGAGCACAGACAGCTACACACTAAAAACAAAACTTGTCCTTTTTAGTCTGCTGTCCTTTCACCCCAATGTGGGTCTGTCTTTCATCTGCCCCACCAATCTACACTTCTGAGCCAGGCTCCTGCTTCAGGAGTCCCACCGTGTCCCAAATGTACTCTCTTTTCACCCGTGAATTAATTGCCTTTAAACTGGCCCTTGGACACGGTTTCAATTTATCAATTTATAACGAATATCAATTTATAACGAATCTGAGCAGATTCTTCATGCCATTCCCTTTCTGCCGTTACCACTTGCCACTCCTGGACATGTATGATGGTTCACTGAACTGTCATCATAACAATGAACTGTTTCCCCCATTTGTCCCTCTAGGATGGCATACATGGCTTCTCCCCTAGCCGAAATGTTCATTCCCATCCATCTAACAACTATTCAGTTGTGGAAATTCAGTTTATATTTTTCTTCACCTTGGAAACTTGATCTCCTACAGTTTGATATTGGTGTCCCTGTGAATAAAATAACTGTGTTGCATCCATGATGATTTCCCCCATCAGACCCTGTAGTTCTTGACCATATCATGCATTCTCAGGTCAATAAACTGGACCCTACCTGACTGATAATGAATCCAGTAGCAGTGGCTGAGATGATTCCTGCAATGAGTCCAAATCCCCTTGAGATTCCCATAAGGAAACTTGAATATCTGTAGAGAGAGGGTTTTTATGTAATAAGATGCCACCTTCATGGCATCTGCAGTAATGTAGTATCAATGCAGTTGGCTTCACGACAAAGTCATTTTACCTAATACAGTTTTTCATTCACTTGAACATATTCAAGGAGCCCTGGAGGCCCAGTGCGCTAAGCATTGGGCTGGTGGTCAAAAGGTTCAAACCCACCAGCTGCTCTGTGGGAGAAAGATGAGGTAGCCTTCTTTTATAAAGATTTATAGCTTTGGAAACCATGTCCTATAGGGTCTCCACGAATTGAAATCAACTCAAAGGCAATGGATTTGGGTTGTGTTTTTGTGTTTTGGTTGGTAGAGCTGAAAGCATCTATCCAATGAGTCAACAACCAGAGAACAATTGAGCTTCCTCAAGGGAGACAGCTTACGCAGAACTTGGCCTCGAACTGCCTAACTCCATATTTTGGCTCTGCCCCTGTGTCACCTTAAGCAAGCAACTCAACCTTCTGGTGCCTCAGTCTTCTCCGCTATAACATGGAGATGACAAGACAGCCCATTTCTTGGAGTTATGAGGATGAAATGTGTCCATGCATATGAAGCCTTTAGAGCATGATTTGGCTTTATGGTGGTGAGTGCATCCACCTTGGAAGCTTTCTGAAAACATGGGGACCTTTTCCTCTACATGATGACCAGCCCATCCTGGGAGCTGTTGTTCTAAAGAAGATACCTTGGGTTATGATCACATACTGACATCGCTGTGTAGTCAGCAGCGGCCATCATGCAGTAAACGCCAATAACAGGAAGGAGTCGCAGAAAGAAGACTGAGCTCTAATACCTTTTAAAGAGTCTGGAGGATGAAGAAACAGTTAAAGTCTTACCTGGGGGCAATATCTAAGGTGTTGATGATAAACCCTGAGTCACACAGGTTGCTGGTTCCAGGAATAAGTATCAGCAAAATAATGGTTGTAATGTTACTCGAAGCCACAAAGGGCAGGGCCATGGCACACAGCGATGGAAGGAGGAGCCCTGGGCAATGAGGACATGCCATCAGGAACCCTCTTTGCCCACCCGTAGAAAAGGGAATTGGTTAACGAGGCACATGGGCCTATCCTTACCTAGGGATGAAAAAAGTTTTCGCACGGTGATTAATCTGAGAAGATTCCGGGACAGAAGGAAATCTGCCAACTGACCTCCTAGAATTGTACAGCTTGAGGCAGCAATAAAAGGCAGGGAGGACAGAACCCCATTCTGAAGGAAAGAAAATTAAACAGTGAGTAATTGCACACAGAGCACTGAAGTGTATTCGTTCCACGGACCTGTCATTGAGCCCTCCCTGATATACTGAGTCACTTTAGGGAATTAGCATCCTCTTCCACACTGAAAGGTCTCAAGTAAGAGGGCCAACCATCTGAGTCACACTGATTCCCAGGGAAATGCAATATTTATTCCTAAGGGAAATTGAAGAACCAGCCAGTATGGCAGTGTCGCATAGCAATTAAGAACACAGATATTGGAGCAGGTCTACAATTTTTAAATTATGTAAACTTGGGCCAGTCATTTTATCTCTACGTCCACATTACTATACTGATGCAATTGGAATCATCTCAGTGCCTCTCCCAAGGTTGCTGGGAGGGTTAGCTGAGTGATTATGTGCAAAGCACAGAGAACAGTGGCTAGAATATGGTAGGTAATGCAGAGCTGTGTCGCCTGATTGCTATTATGTTCATAGACATATAAGAAGTATACTTACATCTTTAATGTTAACATGTAGCACAGAGCTGATGTACGTTGGGAGGTATGTTAGAATGATGGTGCATAACCAGAAATGGCTGAAAAATCCCATGAAAATGGCCCAAAGTGGTAGGCATCTGACCATAGCCTTTATTGGGACAGATCGTCTAGGAGAACTGGGCTGAAAGGAAATAACTAATCAACATCAGTATTAGAACAGGCCGGAGGGCACTCTCCTGGAAGACTGTATAGTGCACTGTACCTGTTGAGCTAGAGAAGATGTGATATGTTTCTGTTCCCTGGAACTAATGCACGGGTGATGCATAGGGTCATCATAGATCACTGTGAACCACAGGAGACAGCAGACACAGCCAGTGCTACCTGGGAAGCAGAGATCCAATTCGTTTTCAGGTGAATTTGTGTTCTGGGTTGAAAGGCATCCTCTACAGTGCTATGCCTGTCCCCACATACATCATCAATTGATGGTGACCCCAACATACGAACACGCATTTTCCCATTACTTCCTTTCAACTCTTCAACAAAGTTCCCCATGCTATTAAAGCTTCTTGGATAGCTCTCAAATACAAAGTCTTCATTGGTCAGTGTGAGCACCCCCTGGAAATAGCATGAGCCTAACGTATCATTGCATCGGATAATGAAAACGGAAGACATATTCAAGATGTGTTTTACCAACTTTGATATTTTGACTGCATACAGTGACTAGACCAGGCAATTCAAATGCAGGGGCAGAGGTTCTCCAGATGCTCAGAGTAGGGAGTAAGTCTGCATTCCTGATTCCTCAAAAGTCAGAGCTATTTGTGCAGATCTCTTTTTTCCCCTGGGCCCAGATACGGCGCTGCCTAGAACCATCAGGACCACATCAAACCAAATTGTGTAGATTAGAATAAGAAAGCTGTCAATTCCCAACATTCTTCATCATCTTCCATTTAACAAAGGACATATTCTTTCATATGGGAAGGATGTGGGGAGTGTAGGCATCAAAGGATGAAGGCATCAAAATGGATATCTGTAACTTGCCTTACTGAATGAGCATGATTGAAATTTTTGCCTGTGCCTAACCTTCATTACTTTCTCCTTTTTATTGATTGGGATTGATACATATATTATATCATTCCATAGTTCAATCAGGTCCTGCAGAATTGTACATTTGCTACAACAATCAGTTTCCAAACAATTCTTTTCTATATGGACCCCTTGACATCATCACCTCGCCCCCAGATCTGTGTTTCCCTCCTATCATAACTCTTATTCCACTTGCTAAATCTATAGATTCATCGTCCTGGTTTTCATATATCAAAAAATAAAAAAACAAGCCTCATTACTTTCTTCAACAGTGTTCAGATATCTACGTTTTTAACCTGTATAAATCCTGGGTATTTTAGCCTCAAAAGACAAAAAAAAAAAAAAAAAATATATATATATATAAATATATTTATATTTATATATATATTTGCTTTCCTTTTCTCAATAATACTTTAAAATCTATACTATTGGCTAGTTAATGGTACTATTATTAGCTTTAGCAATTATCTGATGAAAATTGCATATGTTATTTCTCAACAAGCTGATACTGATGCCTCTAAAATGGACCAGGGATATATGTAACTTTACATATACAAATGGATTTTGAGGTCACACATAATCATAATCCCTAATCAAAGAAAAATTAGTTCTTACAATATGACCCTGCTCAATATGTGCTCTTATGAAGTGATCAGTAAAGATATGAGTGCTGTAACAAAGTGTGGTGAAGAAATCACATGGTGTCTGATTATCAGAAAGAATGGCTTCTTGGGTCTTAGAGGCTTCTATTAAAACAAGCACCCATCTAAGTGAGGTGTCAGGAACACAGCAGCCTGTGTGATCCAAGGATGATACATAATAAAATCTAAGATCAGAGGAGGGAATCATATTAGAGTTTAAAATCTGAGCACCTGGTTTGCAGTAGTCTACGGATGACACTGAAAGCCCCAAATCCATTTGAGAGTCACCACATGGATTAAGCCTCCATTGAACTACCTGAGACCATTGACTAGGGGTGTGAATAGTCTTACCCTCAGACAGAATGCATTGGAAAGTGGATTACTGCAGCTAGAGTTAGGTTAAAATTTAACATATT